CTGGATGATGTCTCCCACACGTATCACACAATGGGTGTTTCCACCCTTTTGATTTGCTTTCCGACGCCACGGAGTGCGTCTGTGCCGATTTCCCTTTCTTTGAGAAGTGCGAACTGCTAGATTCTTGGAAGGGCCTTTTTCCTTTTGAGGCAGAGCTAGTGGGACGGTGAGTGCTTGAGCCAGCATTGTTTGCCTTTAAATACTCTATGCAAGCACTCAGGTCACTATCTGCCCTAGCTATGATCTCGTAGGCCTTTGCAAAATCCACGGTGGTAAGGACGGACACACGTGACCTGAGGTCAGGTCGAAGTTTCTTCCTGAACTCCTCAATGCGATCGGTTGGGGTACTCACCAAGGTTGGCGCAACGTTTGCAAGTTTGGTGAGCTTCTGACGATATTCAGGGAGTGTCATGTCTCCCTGTTGCAGTTCGACAAATTCCGTACGTCTTTCTTCACTAAAACGTTTTGGAATATATTCTTGCTTGAATGCCCATTCGAAATGTGCCCATGTCCATGGCTTAGGAGTTCCTGCACTCTCATCGGTCCTCTTCCACCACTCGTAGGCTTCCTTTCGAAGCAATTGAGAAGCCAGTCTAGGATAATTGTCAATGGGTATGTTAAGATTTTCCAACACCCGAGCCGTCTGCTCGATCCAATCCCATGCAATTTGGGGTTTGGCGATGCGATCCCCAAAGAATATCTCCGCACCATTATCCCTTAGTGTTTTGTAGGTTACCACACGAGGTGGTGGTGGTGGAGGTGGTTGAAACATTGGTGCGTTTGCAATCTGTTGTAACACATTAGCCAGAAAAGTTGGAATCACAAGCTCGGGTTGACCACCAGCGTTCGGGTTATTCCCAACATTTTGTTGATTGACAGGTTCATTTTGGACGGGAGGGGTGAAACTAGATGCTTCAGTATGAACACTAACGTGTTCATTGTTGTTGCCTTGTCCGTGGGCAGATTCTTGACTCATTCTACAATAACAGGAATTCCTTCATTAGGATTCTTTTATTCAGTAGTTGAGTTTAAGACAGGAATTGCAAAGGATTACAACAGTCGATACAATCAATGGATTTGAAACGAACAACAAGAAAATTTTTAAACGTTTGCGTTCGATTGGTGGGATCGTGACGAATCTACAGATGGATCTTCCTTGCCCGACCCACATACGTTATTGGCAGAGTCTACGCTGAACGTCTCTTCTGGGTCATCTCGTTCCCATGCAGCCTTGCGGCGTAGATAAATCCTTCATTTCATTATTTTTGCGAAGCGATGGGCACGTTGATAACGTACCAGCGAGTCATATACATTTCGTTTGTTCTTTCGTCTTTTACCATGTACGAAAGTGCGACTTGAATCCACACTTGATATTATTTCTGAATTAATAGTTGACATCTATAAAGGTTTAATGCAGTCAAATTCAATACTTAATTTTTATTACTTTCCTGGAGCAGATGAATGCGAGAGTCGTGGATGTGATTTATATTTTTTTTTTCGATATATATATATATATATATACAAATTTTTTTTTAAAAATCCAAATTTTGATCCGAAGATCGGGTTTAAAACCATTTGCTCTGATACCAAATTGTAACACCTCAATCCGTCCAGGTCTGCAGCCCCTTCCGGACTAAAGTATAAACTTGGTATTTGTAAACATTCAAAAGGTTTCAAGCATTTTAAAACTTTATTTCATAATAAAGTATTCAGAATAGTAACAGAGTAGTTAATGTTGCGGAAGCTGAATAAATAACAATTACAAAACATAATAATATTGTGTCTTTTTAAACTTTAATTCATTTTACACATCCACTTTGACCATCTCGCTCCGTCTGCCGCCAGGATTCCATCACATCATTCTTTTTGTTTACCTGCATGTAGCAAATAAAACATACTACACGCTCAGCGTTGAAGCTGAGTAAGCATATCTAATGCATCGAACATCCATATAAATTGAATCTCAATTCATAATTAACCATTTGATATCATGCACACAATACATATTTCAAGCTTACATTATTCATAATATTCATAATATTTTATTTTAAGTCATTTCATGATATATTCAATATTCAAAATATTTCATCAGTGCTCTTAAATTATTCTTAATCTAAGGCCAAATCATTTTTATACAAGCTCTTAGCTATTCCTAGTCTAAGGCAATATT